ACCTGAAGCCCCAGACCCCTAAACCCCAGAAATAATAGCGAGAGACTCCCCAGAGCCATGCTGGCGACAGCATTCCTTCGCGTGCTGGTCTCCTTGCTGCCATGGATTTCGCCTCTTTGATGCGCTTGAAGACTTGGGGTTTAGTGTTTAGGGGTTTANNGATGGTCTTTCGGGACCTAATTCCATCATGGTAGTATATATGGACCCTCTGGGTGCTATGTGGCCATGCAAGAGATTCAGATCCCGCGCCTCACGTGGGCATCGCTTTATACCTGCGGGCACATTGGTGCTGAGGGTCAGGGGTTTAGGGTTTAGGGTTTCGGGAGCTTATAGCTCATGGGGTTTTTGGTTTTGAGTGGGTTTCAAGGCCCTACGTCTACTCGGTGTTTCGGGTTCAGAGGCCCGAGTTGTCGCTGGTTCGGGAGTTGTTGCGCTCAGTGCCTCAGTGTCTACGGGCTGGAGGTCCGGTTTTCCGAGCGCTTTGTTGCATGTAGGGTTCACCTGGACCCTTAAGAAGCTACCTCTTTATGGTTCCTTGTTATGATCATCCTTAAAACAGGTGGGTTCTTTGGGGTCTAGGTAGGGTTTAGGGTTTAGGGTGGCAGCCTAAAGCCTCCAGACCCGGGGCCCGGGTCGGGGTTTGTCTGTGTTGCGTGCTAGGGACGGTGCGCATTGGATTCATGGATATCGTTCGGCCTAAACTTAAGCCTAAACCCTAGCCTAAGGCTCCATAGTTATTTCTTTTGGGGACTACCTTATACCTTTTTTGTGGTTTGAATTTAGGGGTCCTAGAAGGTAATCCCAAAAAGCCGCTTCTGGATTCGGATTAGGATCGGAGAGCAGCTCAAGGCCCGGGGAGTGCTGGGTTTCTACGCCTCTGAAGACGCTGTAGATGATGAGATCTTGGTTTAGGGCTTACCAGCACCCCCCAACTACCCTCTATTATACTCTTTATACCCACTATTAAGGGCCATAAGGGCTCTATGAAAGGGTACTTGCGGGGGTGCAGGTAGAGTTTAGAGGGTTTGGGGTTTGGGGTTTAAGGGCCTCTGGAGGCGCTATAGATGATGAGATCTTGGCAGAAGGTTTAAACTTTATAGGATTTAGGGTTTAGGGCTTAGTAAGGTTTAGGGTTTAGTAAGGTTTAGGGTTTAGTAAGGTTTAGGGTTTAGGGTTGTATAAGGTTTAGGGATTAGGGTTTAGTTTTTAAGGTCAAGTGTTTACGTGCGGTGCAGGGCTCAGTGTCTAGAGTTTACGGTTGAGTGCCGGCGCTGTGGGGTTTAGGGTTCCTTGAAGCACAAGGCAAACCGTAGGTGTGCACCGAGAGCAGCGAGGTCCAAGCCCTCCAGCACCCGAAATCGCTAACCCCGCAAAACTTAAATCTGGAGCTAAACATTTAGGGTTTAGGGTTTAGGGCAGCCTAAGCCCTAAACCTAAGCACCAAGCCCTGACCCTGTAAACCTGCAGCACACAAGCCCAAAAAAATAAACCCGGAGCAGCCCTGAACCTCCAATGCGGAGACACCGATCATGAATCTTCATGGCAACCAGTTTAGAGCATATACAACCTTACCTCAAGTTCGCCGCCGATCTTACAAAACCTCAATATAAGAACTCGTGTTTAGGGGTTTGTGTTTCACCCGTTACGCTTTTATACAGCCCGAAAGAAGTTTCACAACATCCCAACCGTAGTTCCCAAAACTACTACACCACAAACCCGAAACCCCCCCTAAACCCTAAGCCTTGAACCCTATAGACACCGGACACCCCTGAGCCCTTAAACTCCTAACTCCCAAATCCCCTGAATTCTAAACCCCTCTAAAGCTTCGAGCCTCAGTCAAATCCCTAAACCCCCTTTCGAGAAGCCCTTTTTAAATTACAGGAACCCCAACAGCCTAAACCCTAAACCACCCTAAACCCCAACTCCTGAACGTTAAACCCAAATCCCTCAAAACCCCTAAACCCCTAAACCCTCAAAACCTAAACCCTCAATCCCATAGATGCCTAAACCCTAGCCCTAGACCCTTATCCCCAAACCCTAAAATCCCAAACCCCCTAAAAACCCCCAAAGCCGAAACTCGGGAACCCCAACAAGGACCAGCTCCCGGCCGTTTCAGTCCGACACTCTTCGGGAGCTGAGCACCGCGCAGGTGTCTCAGGTGCCAGGGGCTCGGTTTTGAGGATATTTGGCGAGGTTCCTGAGTAGTACTTTTTTGGCTTTTTTATTTCGGGGCCTCCGTATTAAAGCCGAATATTAGGGAAAAGGGTACACTTATTACGGTCTTACTGGTGAGCCTAGTTGGGGTTTAGTCTTTAGCGTGATATTGTGGTTTACCCTAAGGGTTCATGTGCTATACTATTGTGGTTTACCCTCAGGGATTCACCTGCTCATGTGGCATGTCCCTTCAGCCTTAAAGTAGTCCCTTTTTTGGTACTTTGGGACCATCGATTTGGGTACAGTTTAGAGATATAGTAGTAGTCAAAGGTACCATAAGCCCTTTTCGGGCTCCCTTGTTAAACAAAATAGTAGGAAAGAGAGCCGATTCGTGTTTATGGTAACCTAGACGAAAGCCTTTAAGAAGAACCCAGTTTACGGCTGTTTCGGGTTGAGGGTTTTATTGTTAAGGGTTTAGGGTTTAGGCATCATTGGGTTTAGGGTTTAGGGTGTGTTCGCGTAGTGTTGTGGTGTGGGGTTTTGCTTGTTGAATTTCTGTCGACTTTGTACGCGGGTCTTGTAGGATCATTAGAGGTCTTATGTTGGCTCTCTGGCAACCTTAACAGCCTAGGCAGCTCTTGTAGTGCCCGACAAAACCTTGAAGAAGATTCCTCAATCCGAGCCCCTGCCTGGGTCTCCAAAAACCTACTGTTTTAGGGGTTATACCTTAATTAAGGGGTCATAACCCACTCACTATGTTGTAGGGTTTGGGGATACAGGTAAACTAAACTCTAAGCCCTCACCTGGGAGCTGTGCACACGGCTCGTTCGCATGAAGGCTCCCGACATCCCGCGATTTGATGGCACCGACACAGCAGCCTGATCTGTTCTTAGCGGTCTGGGTTTAGGTTAGGACTTATTGTTTGGTGTTCAAGGTTTGGTTGGGGCATAGGGGCGTAGGGCTTAGGAATTGCAGTTGGGTTTGTGACAGTATTTTTGAGCATGTCGGCAAGATTTAAGGGTTTAAGGCAGATCCTTAAATCCGGCCAAGAAGATCCCAAAGCCAAAAGCAGTGTGTAGGGTCCCATCACCATCCCTTCTGGGATCCCTATAAAACCCAAAACCCACAATTCCTAAGAAAACACACACAGCTCAGGCCCCACCTGTCTCAAAGCCTTTGCAGATATCGTCGAGCTTCGGCCCCCGCTGGAAAGCGTCCCAGTCGCGAGACGACTTCCACCGCGGCATTGACTACTTCGACACTGGTGCCTTATACTTTTGGATTCTATAATCAGGGGATTTACAACACGTTAGGGCATCCTTCGCTGGGGTCCCTAAATTAATGATGCTACTACCGCGGCAACCGTGAGCTGCCCTGTTGGGGTCTTTATGTTCTGAAAGTTCGGTCTGGAGGAGATGTCCGGAGGGCTTGCACTTCAAACGATTGATTTATGTTGTGGACATTGTAGTCTTGTGCGTAGTTAAGTACGCAAGAAGGTACCTACTTCTTTTGCATACAACCCGAAACCCTAAACGCCTGCAGAGGCCTTATCCTTATCTGCGGTGTACGGATTATAGGCAGTTTAATGTTAGGTACCATGATCTATCATAACAATTATAATAAGAAGAAATGTTATTCTTATTTGTTTACTATTATTATTATTACTATTATTATTATTGCTACTTCGATTGTTGTTACTAATACTAGCACTATGATTTTCTATAAGGCCTGTAATGAACCCCTGCAACATGACCAAGCTGCCAAGGATGACCTCGATGCACCTATCTATGCCTGCCAGAACGGCACTGTTTTCCAAGCTCCTTGTGGCTTATTGGTTTTAGGAGTTTAGGGTTGAGAGGTTTAGGAGTTTTAGGGGGTTGTAGGGTATAGGGTCCATATACGTTTTTGCGTCCAGGGTTCAGGAATCTTTATTCAGGCAGATACTTTGAGGGCTTTGGCTGGGGATTTCGAATTTGCCTCCTGCCACCCCCCCCAGCCCAAAGGCCTTACACAGAGGAATCGCAAGAGGATTGCTGAGCGCCTTCACAGCCCAAGCTCATGACAAACTCCACTACATGTTTCTGAGTACCTGGTAATGATGGTATCTCCTTCTGGTCAAATTATAGAGATTCTGATATGCCGAAAAACCCTATGCAGCCTTATTCTTAATTAAGACCGCCCCCAGTGTTTCGTTTGGTTTCAAGAGCTTTTAGGGGGCTGGGCTGATGTGGGAGAGCCCAAAGAACCTACCTTTTTGTGGATTTTATACCAGGAAATCGTAATCAGGAACCCTCAGGAGGCTAGGTTCTTAGGGGTCCAGGTAAACCCTAAACCCTGGGGGGTCGGTGCTGCTGGTTTTGGTGGTCTGGGGATTTGGTTCAGCTTCGGTCAGACTGTCGCGGAGACCAGCTTCTTTTGTAGTACCCTTTTTGCCCTTTTTGCTTTATGGGCTCCTTTCTAAAATGAAATACCGGCATAAAGGGTACCCTTATTGTAAACCGTTTACTGGAGAAGCTAGAAGACCAGGTGCACACGGAAGCAGCTGGCAGCATGCCTGGAGGTGGAAACGTCCTTGTTCTAGAGCATGCTCTGTCATCGACCGCGAAGTTCCATGTTCCTCCGGTTGCATGGGAGTAGCGTGGGACTAGGCAATTGAGGTGCAGAGTGCTAGGATGTTTGTGATTGCGGTCGGAGCTTTAAGCTCAAGGTTACGAGTCAAGCACGCTTCCAATATCTTCCAATGTACCTCACGCGATGTGGTGCTGGTTGCTATCATAGTGACATAGTGCCCGGCCGATTAAGTAGCTCTTCTGTCGTGCTAGCATGTTACATCCCACCTTTCGGAACCTCGGTTTCCAACCATGCGTGCCACAACTGCAATCATAAAGACTTGAGTGATCTTCCTAATCAAGGGATGTTGGGCTTTCCAGGGTGGGTCTCTTGCACAGGGTGTGGTTTAGGGGTTTAGGGTTTAGGGGTTAGGGTTTAGGGCTTAGGGTTTAGGGGTAATGGGTCTTAGGGCTTAGCCATTCCAAGCGAGGCATGCACGATCGCAAGGGTTATGGGGTGGCTTTCATGCAGGAATTACGGTTTGAGGTCTTGGGTTTGACCGTTTCACAACGCAAGCCAAGGACAGAGTGATCAACAAGTACTACTCCTACTACTTGCACCTGAACTCTATTGCGGCACTCTCTGAAGGAGATGTGGTAAGCAAGGGTACAGAGATCGGCACGATGGGACAGACAGGTGCCTCTTATTATCGCTCCTGCTACGGCTACTGATTCTACTACTACGACGACGACTACTACTACTTACGAGTATTAGTACTATGACTACGGCCAGAACAGTAAGACTATGACTATAATCAGTACTTTTACTGTTAAAAATACTTTGTTGATTGCGGCTGTTAGTATTACTGTTTTTTTGCGTTTATTCGAGTATTACCCGAATAGTATTTCTGTTAATGTTATTGTTGTTGTTTCTTCTAGTTATTATCAGTATATTTATTATTATCATCATTCCTCATATCTGCATGGTAATTGTTTCAGCGCAGGGAAAGTCAGGATTCTCAGAAGTTGCCCTGCGATTCAGTGCCCTGACCCACCACACCCTAAAAACCCTCAAGGTCCTCTAAGTTTTCAACCCCGCATTAAGCGCAACACATATACAAAGTCAACTTCAACCGCACACAGACAGGGGAAACCTCCTTCACCCACCTGCACTTCGAAACACGCCTGGTGGGCTACTGCTCCTATCAGCTTCTTGTTGCAGTACAGAACCTTTTATATGTGGCTTTTGTTGCCCCTAGAACCCTAAACCCCAAACAAGCAAGAGCTCCGGGCATCTTGTTCAGGGGATCAGTGTTGTTCCGAATTTCGAGGGCTGGTCACATTTAGGATGGACAAGTAAGGTTTCAATTTGCGAACAATCGCCAAGCCTCTCCAACCTCCAGTTGCAACACTGGCTTTGATCCTCACGTCCACCCATACTTGTTTGTTGGCGGGGTCGCGAGTGGTCCGAAGTATCTCTATGAAGTTGAGCCAATGGAAGGCTTCGAGTACGCAGTGCGCTACAACGCCACCCGCGGCCACATGGACATGGACGTGATACGTACGAGCCTAGGAGACGTTCACATCGGGACCAGGCACAATGTCAATATCAACACCATCGAGACCCTCGACGATCTCCACAACATAACCCCGTGGATGGCTTTACGTCCGGGGTATTTCGTGTCCACTACAGAAGACACCTATACCTACGAACTCCACTTCAGGTCTGCCCCTACCTTCGTGGAGGTTTACGACATCTATGGCAACGGAATTCGAGCAAGTATGACGGCAGATCCCGGTTCCCAGACGTCATCTACGACCACGGAAGCCGCCAACGAGGCGGCAGAGGGCACCGCCTCTGCTGGTGAAGCTCGCCGGGGCGGTTGGCTTGCCCTCTTCGTTCTCGTGGGACTGTCCACTTAGTTGAGCCAGCTTGAAGCATCGTAGATAGCCAGTGCAAGAACTACTTTAAGCTGTTTGGGTACATTCTGGTCTATCTGAGAAAGTTTGAGCTGTTTGGTGACCCGGCTATTGAAGAAGGGAGGCATAGAGAGGTGTTGCAAACAGTCACAGCTGACTTGTGATAGTATGACAGGCATGTGTTTGCCGGTTTGCTTCTGGCCAATCTAAATGCCAACACTCTGATGAGGGAGGACTGCATTTGTTCTCCTATGCTTCAGCTTTCCGTTTTGAAGCTCCAAAGCAAGAGCTGCAGCATGTGAACGAATTCGATTCCGCTGCACCGCAGTTTCTGTTCCTCCCGGAGGGAAACAACACAATATCTTCGGTCGCCCGAGTGCCAGCGCATCGACCTTACACTAAAGCAAACTTCAACTTAACTCAACTAAACCAACCCTACAACCTAATAATGCAGGGCATAAACGCCTGCAAGATAAAATGCCGAAGCTGGTGCAGGCAGGCTTCATCCAGCCTAGGCTACACTTTCGAGCATTTGGGGTCTCGAGGTGTAAGGTTTAGGATCTTAGGGTTTAGGGTTCAGGGGTTTAGGGTTTAGGGGGGTTTAGGGCTTGGGGCCGCATATAGAAAGTAGATCACAAGTGAAGATTGTCTGGGGTTTCTAGTGATCTTTGCGGCTCTTATTATTTTTAATTGAGGGAAAGCAAGCCTAGATGTACCATGAGCCGAACCGTTGAAAGTATGACGCATTTATAACCTATTAAGTCTAGGGCTAGGGGCAACATGGCTGGTCCTTCTCACGCAGACTAAGGCTTTTATGAAGATATGGCCCACAAGTACTTCCGTGTGCTCAGCTCTTCCTAAATTGCGGCAGTTTGGAAGATCTGAGCATACTTGCATGAGGCTACAATTTTATAGAATCCTTAGCTGCCTTAGTTCATAGCACCCTTTCAGTACCCTGATAGAACCCCGCTTACTCCCAGACGCCCAAAAGGATCTCAAAAAAAGAGCCACAGGAAGGCATCCTACTATTACATGGCTTAAGATCACTCAGTGTTCAGGGCTTCTATGTTTTAGAGCATTGCGCAAGCATCTGGGTATGTAGCCTGATGCTAAAGGGTCTACGGCTCAAGGTCTAGGGCTTAGTATAGGGGTCGGGGTCGGAATAATTACCGACACTGTTCCCTTTTAGTTCCTATTTCAGGGTTTAGGGTTTTTAGGACCATAAAACTTAAGACACAGTTAAAACTCTAGTCTCAAGATGCAAGCCCCCTACATTAGGAGTTAAGTCCTCGCGGCCAGGGCTGCCGTGTGTCCCTCCACTTCGCGGCTGCGCCGGCAGGCCGGGGGTTGTAAGGCTTTTCCACAGCGCCAGCATCGTTCGGGCTGCAGTGGATTAGGGACTTGCGGTTTAAGTTTTTTGGTAAAACCCTAAACCCTAAACCCTAAACCCCTAAACCCTAAACTTTTCGGTTCGCTGTGGCGGGCTTGAGGGTTCAGAGCTCAAGTGTCGGGTTTAATGTTTCGGGCGTTCATGCTTTAGGCCTGAGGTGTCAGGGTCCAACCTGGCGCCAAAATAGCCTTGCTGTTCCAAAAAAGCCTAAAGGGTTAAATTTCTTAACTAGAGCCCGTGGATTCAGGCTTGACGTTCGCTCTGAGTTGGGTTTGTTTGTAAAGCAGAGAACCGCGGACAATTTAACGGTTCCAGTGCCAGGAGCTTGGCGAGTCCTTATCCATGGCCAAAGGGGGCTCAGAAGTTTCAGGTTCAGAAGCCCGCTCCATGATTTGAGCTGTGTCTAGCCGTTTTCAAAGTCATATCTGGGTATCTGATCGAATCATACGCTTACCGAAGTTAAAGAATTCTGAAATACTGGAGCTGAGTAGAAGCTGAAGCCCTCAATCGTCAAACTGATTCACAAGCACTCTTCAGCCTAAACCCTATCCCCTAAACCTTAAATCCTACCCCCTAAACCCTACACGCTACCCCCTAAACCCTTAACCCTTAAACCCTAAACGCTTCAGGGCATCGGTCTCTGCAGAAGTGATTCCAGACCAGACCCTAAACCCTAAAACCCAAACCGTTCAGCCACAAGTCGTTCAGCTCTTCCGTTTGGCCCAAGGCCTCGAGCCCTCAAACCTGTCGCAGCAATGAAAGTGCAATTTCTGCAGGCTTTGTAAGGGTAAGTTTAGGGTTTAGGGGGGTTTTGGGGTTACGGTTTTAGGGTTTAGGGGTTTAGGCCTAAGTTTAGGGTTTAGGGGTTTCGGGTTTATTACCCTTCAGCTCTCTGCAGAAGCTGTTGAATGTTGGAAGTGCCTAGTGTCTTCTTCGAGAGGTCTCTCAGAAGGCAAGCGTTTGCCTGACCCCCCGCAAACGGGGTGGTAGGCTTAGTAGCTGAATTACTACACTTTAAGCTTTTTGGGATAATATGATTCCTCATAGAACTGAAAGTGTATTTACACTTTGTTTGTTCTTATGAACTCAGCAACTAAGGTAGATAATGTCCCGGACCTTGAAAGCCGCGGGTCTGAAAGCTTAACTGCATGGAGTAGTAGCTGAATGAGTACAAGCTAAACTTTTTGGGATAGTATGATCCCTTATAGAACTGAAAGTGTACACTTTGTTGTGTTTATGAACTGAGCAGCCAAGACGGAGTAGTGAAGCTGCGACCCCTTGCTGGGCATACAGGTGTCGGGGTTTGGACATTGAAGACGCAATCTGTATATAGACGTTGGTAGCAAAGGGCAGCAATAGCAGAAAGGCCCATGCGCTCATGTAGTTATACCTACACTTGGAGGGCCTCCTCCATTCACCCTGATCCCTGGTTGTCGTTGGGCACTTGGAGCCGTAGGTTAACCCAGAGAGCCCAATACCCCTTAATTAAGGCATATACCGTAAACCATAATATTAAGGCCCCTATAATTTAAGGTATATTCCTTAATTAAAGGGTATTGGGATCTCTGGGAAAGGAGCCCCAAGGAAGAGTCGCGGTAACTATTCAGGCGACCAGGTTGATGCTGCC